GGATCCAGGTTCCGTGCCCAGCACCCATATGGCAGCTAATTGTAATTCCAGTTCCAGGGTATCCAATGCCCTCCTTGCATTACACAGATGTGCTTACATGCACGTGGGCAAAACACTTATAAAATATAAATAAATAAATAAAACTTAAATCCAACCCCTGGTCCAACCTTAGCTACCTACAGGATCTTCTGCTTTATCCTCCAACAATAAAAAGACTCCATGAGGGGCTGGAGAGATGGCTCAGCAGTTAAGAACATTGGTTGTTCTTGCAGAAGACCTGGGTTCAAATCCCAGCACCCACATGGCAGCTAACAACTGTCCGTGACTTCAGTCCCAGGGATCCAACAGCCTCTTCTATCTTCTGTGGGCACTGCACAACACAGGTGCACTTACCTACATGCAGGCAATACATGCATATGCATTAAAAAAAAAAAAAAAAGACTTCCTGAGGTTGGAGAGATAGCTCAGGGGTTAAGAGGAACTGACTGCTCTTACAGAATACCTGGGTTTGATTTTAAGCACCCACAAGGTGGCTAAAAACCCATCTCCAGGGGCTACAACATCTTCTTCTGACCTCCACAAACACTGCATAACACAGGTGCACTTAGACACATGCAGGCAGTACACTCATACACATAAAATAAAAATAATAAACAAAATATTTTAAAAAGAACTCATTTGCTTATACTCCTGGGGCCACCTAGAACTTGCTATGTAGACCAGGCTAGCCTCCAACTCAAAGAGATCCACCTGCCTGTGCCATGAATTCTTTTTGTTCTCCAGTTCCAGGGTTAGCTGCTGTTTGGGTGCTGAGCTATCTCTCCAACCCCACTTGCCTTAATACATCTAAAAACACAGAGACTTCAAGAATTGCAAGCAGTGCTAGAGAGATGGCTCAGCAGTTAAGTACACTTACTGCTCCTCCAGAGGAACCCCGTTTGGCTCCCAGCACCTACACTGGCAGTTAAAACCTGTCCTTAACTCCAGTTCCAGGGGATCTGACACCTTCTTCTGAACTCCACAGGCACCAGGCATGTACATAGTACACTTATATACATATAGACAAAACACTCAAATACATAAAGTAATAAAATTAAAATAAACAAAATCTTTTTTTAAAAAAAGGAGAGAGTTACAAGCAAGCTGGGTGTGGTGGAGCACACCTTTAGCAATCAGGAGGTGGAAGCAGGTGGATCTCTTTAAGTTGGAGGCCAGCCTGGTCTACACAGCAAGTTCTAGGTCAGCCAGGATAGTATAGTGAGACTCTGTCTCCAAAAAAAAAAAAAGTTACAAGAAGTGACCACAGTAACTAGAAACAGAAGTTTACTAGATATACTCTTTGTGGAGTGGGGCAGGAACAGGCCTTACATGGGTTCACTCCAGCTAACCCTGAGGCATCCTATTTAGGCTTATCAAAGTTCTACTGACTTCTGATTTGAATATCTTGAATCTAAACTGAAAACTATACTCTTAGTCTGCTATTTTAAAGGACAGAATTAAACCAGGTAACCATGTTACTGTTTTTTCTCTATTGTAGTGGGGTCTGCCTTTATCTGTTCCTAGTCAGTACTGTACTAAAACTACAAGAGCTTTTTTAGACCCCTTCCTATACCTTTTAACTTACTATTGTAGTTTTTTTCTCTGTAATCACAGCTAAAAATTCAAAAGACTGTTCTCTTATTTTTGGTCTTTTTGAGAGAGGGTCTCCCTGTAGCCCCAGCTGTCTTGGAACTCACTATGTAGACCAGGCTGGCCTCGAACTCACAGAGATCCACCTGCCTTTGCCTCCCAAGTGCTAGGATTAAAGGCGTGTGCCACCATGTCCAACAAAAGACTGTTCTTTTGAGACCAGGCTGGACTTGAACTCCCAGAGATTCGCATGCCTCCCGAGACAATAGGCCTGAGTCACCAGGCCTGGCTATTTTGGTCTTTTTGAGATAGGTTCTCCAAGTAGTCCCAGCTAGCCTAGACTTGCTATGGAGACTAGGCTGGCTTCAATCTCACAGGGATCTGTCTGCCTCTGCCTCCCAAGTGCTAGGATTAAAGGTGTGCACCACTACACCTGGTCAAATTATTCAGTTTTTAAAAAAAATCTCATGTGTATGAGTATTTTGCCTACGTGTATATTAAGTGTATCCGTGTCATGCAGGGCTCAGAGGCCAGAAGAGAGAGTCAGAAGATCCTCTGGAACCGGAGTTACAGGTGGTTGTTAGCTGCCATGTGGGTGCTAGGAATTGAACCAGGGTCCTCTGGAAGAACAGCAAGTGTTCTTAACCGCTGAGCCATCTCTCTATCTCTTAAACCGCTCAGCCAACAAATTATTCTTCAACATATCCTACCAGTGCGCACCACCACACCAGCCCAACAAATTATTCTTAACAGACATTTATCCTTACTTATTTAGGGTTTCTTGAACCCATATGCATAGTTGTGTAAACCATGCAAAATTACTCACACATGCATGCATACATGCTAAGAGAAACAATAGTGATATGGTCTCTGTTTTGCCACTTTTCTCTCTTCCACACTCTGAATACAACAAAGATGCAGAGCTTTTCCAGCTTCAGTTACTACCAAAAAACAGAAGCATAGGCAAAAGGCTTTAAAACCTGCCCCAGTCTAAGGAAACAAATGACTTCCAGGGAATTTAACTCTATAAGAAATCAGCTGGTAAAGGATCTCACAGGTGTCCCTACAGCCTTTCTTCATACCTCCCTGTCTGCTAAGAAATAGATTGGGGAAAAAAATAAAAGTGAAGTTCCCTCTGCATTAATCCTTATATATAAAGAGTAACTTAAAATAATCAAATGTTAACTAATCAGTTTAAAATAACCAGTTCACTATTTTGTTCTTTTGCTTCTGTTTTCTTCAGCTTCTCTACATACAAAATGAAAGTCTTCTGTTTAGTTCACAGGACAGTCACTCTATTTTATGGAATGAAATGAAGCCTGATTCCTGATTCAAGAACAGAAAATAAAGCCATTATGCACTGGAACTATAGCTAAATGGTAGAGTGCTTGCCTTGTTCACCCTAGGTTTCATCTCTATCACTGCATTAAAAAAAAGAAAGAAAAAGAAAAACAGGGCCTGTGAGATAGTTCAACAGGTTAAAAGTGCTTGCCACACAAGCCTGGTGACCTGAATTCAATCCCCAGAACCCAATAAAGGTAGGAGGAAAGAACTGACTCCACAGTGTTGTTCACAGACTCCACATGTGTCTCAAGGAATGCATGCCTCCTTCCCCCACACTTCATGCACACACACACACACACACACACACACACACCAATAATAATAAAATAAAAAATTTAGAAACAGGGGCTGGAGAGAGGGTTTAGCAGTTAAGAGCACTGGCTGTTCTTGCAGAAGACCCAGATTTGAATCCCAGCACTCACATGGTGACTAACGATATGGGTGCACTTACCCACATGCAGGCATAACACACACATAAAAAACAAAAATAAACAATTAGAAAAAAATGTAGAAACAAAGCAACTCCTGAATCTGAGTCTTAGTTCTAGCTCTATCACTGGCCAAATATGTGATTTTGGGCTTTCAGAGCCTTAGTTCCCTTACACTGTGTGACATGAACATTCTGGCTATGTAATTTCTAAAATGCTCTAGTGGGGCTAGAGAGCTAGCTTAGTGGTTAAAAGCACTGGCTGCTCTTGCAGAGGACTCAGGTTCAGTTTCTAGCACCCACATGCTGTTAACAACTGTCCATAACTCCAGTTCCAGGGGATCCGATGCTCTCTTAGGACCTCTGCAGGCACTGTACGACACGGGTGCACTTACACACATGTAGGCAATACACTCATACACACAAAATAAAAATAATAAAATATTTAAAATGCTATACAATTTCTATGATTTCATGATTGGAAATATAAAACAAAAATGAGTATTAGGTGACAATTATTAAAAAAGGTACCCTAGCTTTACCACCAACTAACATTACTCTCTTAAGGCAACTCCCTTGAAAGTGATTTTTCCATTTAAAGTAGAATCCTTAGATTGAAATTACTTATCTTTATCTTAGGAATTCAGTTTCCTCACTTGTGAGACAAAGGAGTATGGCTACATGGCCTTAAAGGTTCTATTTAATTCTAGAAGGCTAGTACCTGGATTTACCAGAGGATTTTTAAAGTTGCACTTCTTGGGGCTGAAAAGATGGTTCAGTTCGTTAAGAGCACTTACTGCTCTTCCAAAGGACCTGGGTTCAGTTCCCAACACCCACACGGTGGCTAACAACTGTCTGTAACTCCAGTTTCAGGGGATCCAACACCCTCTTCTGTCCTTTGCAGGTGCCAGGCACACATGTGGTGCACTTACATCATGTAGGCGTAATACTCATGCATATATAAAATAAATTTATTTTTTTTTTACAAAGTTGGAATTCTTTGGTAAATTTTAATTAAATTGAAATTCTTGAAAAAGAATCCAGAAGAACTACAGTTCTTTAAGAAGCGATTCAATGCCCAAAGTCCTGCCAGGCTTAAAAGGGCAACAGAGATCTCCCAGTTGCCCACCAGCATACAATAATACTATTTTTACTGTTAACCCAAACTTGCGTTTCATCCTAAATATACAATATCCTTGCCAACAGAGACACATAGAAGAGAAAATGCAAGCCTTGACTTCAAACTAAAGTGCAGGTGTAGCCCAATGAGTGCACAGGATAAAAAACAGAAATGAAGGCCAGTCATGGTGGCACATGCCTTTAATTCCAGCACTTGGGAGGCAGAGGCCAGCCTGGTCTACATAGTGAGTTCCAGGTCAGCTGAGGCTACAGAGAGACCCTGTCTCAAAAAAACCAAAAAAAAAAAAAAAAACTACCCCCAAACCAGAAATGATAATACTATCAACAAGTCATTAATTAGAGACATAAACAGAATAGCATGGGTTAATGCTTTGGAATCAAGTTTCCAAGATCAACAGGAACCTTGACCACAGAGGAAAGAGGTGACTCTGAAATCAGACTCCAAATCAAGGCTCTTTACCTTCCAAGTGTTGGGGGCAGGTTCCCTGTTTACAAGGTTCCAACCCCCTGATGTCTCCACTCAGTGCCACTCAGGAGATGCTCCAAGTATTCCATCCTGTTGCTATTCTCCAACTGAGTCTTCCTTCCTAGTGACAAGTTTCATGGCCAAAGGAGGGTATGATGTCACAATCAGGAACACTCTATTAATAGGAACAGGGAAGAAAAAAAGTGAGTCAGGGGAACTACCTTCACCTGGCAGGTACACTGGACAGAACTGGATCTGGTGGGTGGGGCATTCAGGAGGGGAGGATGAGTAACTCCTTCAAGGACTACAAGTTTCAGTGCTGGGCATGCAGGACTAGCCTCAAAAGAGGGAGGTCCTTGTGTCCAGTAGATTCAAACATAGCTGGGGATGAAGGGAAGAAGAAAAGGAAGCAAAGAAAGGTAGAGAAGGAGAGCTACTGGGGACATGATTTATTTTAAAATATAGAGGGAGAAAAAAGAAAAAGGGGTGAGGATGTAGTTCACTGGTAGAGTGCTTGCCTAGTATACTTAAGTCCCTGGATTCAATCCCCAGCACCACACAAATAAATGGGCATGTAGCTAAGTTGGTAGCTAGCGTGCATGAAGTCCTGGATTTAATCTCAGCACCACATAAACTGGGGGTAGTTGTGCACACCTATAATCTTTTTAAAAATATTTTATTATTATTTTTATTTTATGTGTATGAGTATATTGCTGCATGTTGTAGTACACCCATGTTGTGCCATGCCCACAGAGGTCAGAAGAGGGCGTCAGATCCCCTGGAACTGGAATTACAAACAGTTGTTAGCCACCATATGGGTGCTGGGAGCCAAACCCAGGTCCTCTGCAAGAGCAGCCAGTGCTCATAACTGCTGAGCCATCTGTGAGTGCACCCGTGTTGTGCAATGCCTTGGAGGTCAGAAGAGGGCTTCGGATTCCCCTGGAACTGGAGTTAAGGACTGTTTGTAGCTGCCATGTGGGTGCTGGGAATCGAACCCGAGTCCTGTGCAGGAGCAGTCAGTGCTCTTAACGGCTGAGCCATCTCTCCAGCCCCACACACCTATAATCTTAGCACTTGGGAGGTAGACAAGAGGATGAAACCTTTGAGGTCATGCTTGGCTACACAGTGAGTTCAAGGCCAGCCAGGATGACATGAGACTCTGCCTCAACAACATATATTGTTGTCAATATGTATACATTGTTTTTATTGTTTTTGTTAATTCAGCACACATAACTACAAGTAATGTCAATGATTCAAAGTTGGTGGCTACACGATACATGAATTCATAATTGTTTCCAGGTACAGTATCACCCTTTAATATTTCCAAAGTGCTTTTGCCTACAGTATTTCACATACAAATTCTGGAGGCCAGGCATGGCAGCCCACATCTGTAATCCTAGCACTTAGTAGGCTGAAGCAGGAAGATTAAGAGTTTGAGGCCACCTTAGGCTACCTTGCAAATTTCAGGCCAACCTAGGATATATAGTCAAATAAAAATATCTCAAATAAAAAATAAGAAAAACAAAACTGGACTGGGAATATAGCTCAGTAGAATGGGAAAATACATGCTTAGCATGTACAAGACCCTGGGACCTATACTGAGTACTGAAAAAAATAAATAATAAAAATCTTGAGCTAGACATAGTGATGCATACCTGTAATCCCAGGATTAAAAGGCAGAGGCACGCAGGCAGATCTATGTGAGTTTGAGGCCAGCTTGGTCTACATAATGAGTTATGGCTCAGTGGTTAAGAACACTGGTTGTTCTTGCAGAAGACCCAGGTTCAAATCCCAGCATCCACATGGCAGCTAGCAACTGTCCGTAACTCCAGTTCCAGGGGATCCGACAGCTTCTTCCGTCTTCCGCAGGCATTGCACAACACGGGTGCACTTACCTACACGCATACACATAACATAAAAAATAATAAAATATATTTGAAAAAAAAAAAGGCAGAGTCAAGACCATGGAGAGCTTCAGGCCAGTCTCTACTACATAGAGACTCTGTCTCAACAAATAATTTAGAAAAAAGAAAAATTCAGGTCCTACCCTCGACATAGAAAATACTAGTTCATACAGAGATGCTAGAAAACGTTGCTACAGCTGATGGCGCATGTCTTTGAACCCAGTACTCAGGAAGCAGAGGCAGGTGGATCTCTGTGAGATCAAGGTCAGCCTGATTTACATAGCAAGTTTGAGGCCAGTTGGGATTCCTGTCTAAAAAAACAAAAACAAACAAACAAAAAAACCAAAATAGAATGTTGCTAGAGTTCCAACTCTACCTCTCAAGTCTGAAATATACCAGAGGGGAATCAGGCAGAAAGAAAGAAAAGAACAGGAAGAAGGAAGGAAAGAAAGAAGGAAGGAAGGAAGGAAGGAAGGAAGGAAGGAAGGAAGGAAGGAAGGAAGGAAAAGAAAATCAGATGGTACTCTTAAAAAATAGAAAATTTAGGGGCTTGAGAGATGGCTCAGCAGTTAAAAGCACTGACTGCTCTTGCAGAGGACTTGGGTTTGATTCCCAGCACCCCCAGGACGGCTACGAATCATCCTTAACTCCAGCTCCAGGGGAATCTGAAGCCCTCTTCTGATCTCTGCGGCATTGCACAACACGGGTGCACTCATACATGCAGGCAATACACTCATACACATAAAACAAAAATAAATATTTTTTTAAAAAGTAGAAAATTTAGCCGGGCGTGGTGGCGCATGCCTTTAATCCCAGCACTCGGGAGGCAGAGGCAGGCGGATCTCTGTGAGTTCAAGGACAGCCTGGTCTACATAGTGAGTTCCAGGACAGCTGGAGCTACAGGGAGACCCTGTCTTGAAAAGACCAAAAAAAAAAAAAAAAGTAGAAAATTTAAAAAGCAGGTATGGTGGCTCATATCTGTACTCTCAGCATTTTGGATACTGAAGCAGGAAGATCAAGGTCAGCCTGGGCTCCCTTTCGAGATCCTGTCTCAATGAACTAAGAAGGAGCGAGGGAGAGAGGAGAGAAAAAGTAGAGGCAGTGTTGTTTGAGGGTGGGCAACTTAGGTTAGAGAGCAGTAAAACTGAGCTGAGCGGGCTCTTAACTACAAGGGTGGAACCCAGACAAGGTTTCGGATAAGGATGTTGAGAAATCTATTCAGCTATACCAGGATAACAGCAGCTAATCAAACTCCTTAAGGGCTACGTTGGGATAAAATAGGACAATCATGATTTTCACACAAAATTCAAAGCCAAAGTCTGATACATTTGCTCATTAGTTTACCATGCTCATCAGCCACAATATGTTCAGCATGTATTTTCAAATGAATCAGAGATAAAGGTGCAAAACCTAGCACTTTCTCTTCCCTGTGGTCCAGAGAGGGGTGACAGAGTTCTTATTTCTCCCCACTATTTGTTTCTTTCCCACAAAATACAGAAGAAGCACAACGTTTCCTTCATTTGAACAACACCCCATTGCCCAACACTCAGGCCCATGCACCTGTACCTCAAAAAAAAAATGCTTCTAGGAACCTGTGCTGTTGGCTATGCTGTTTCCTAGGGACAAGTTCCAGACTGAGAAACCAAATAACTGCCCACACTGGGAAAACAAATCCTTTGCAAAATGGAACAGGGATTTTCAACAGAGTAGAGGACCAGGAGTGAGAAGCTTGGATTCCAGTCCATTTCTTCGACCCACCAACTGTTAGACAACTTCAAACAAGTCATGCAACCTTTCTGTAGTTTTCGGTTTCTTCAACTGTCAAATAGAGAAAATGACACTTGCCTTACCCATCCTACATAGGGCCCTGCAAGTCAAATGAGTTAATAAACATGAAAGCACACTTAAGACTGCTCTCTTCGGGTATTAGTTGCAGCAACAGAATAGCAAAATAAATGCATAATGAAGGCCAGAGGAAATGCTTGAAGAAGCTTGTTCCTCCTTTTGAATTGCTACAAAGTCTAGGGGAGAGCTAGCACAACAATACTACTGCATCCCTCTTCACATTCCCTAACCACTAACCCACTCAATTCTTTCTTAAGGGAATATTAGAGCCAAAATTAGCTCTTGCCCTACTGTCGGTCTCTACAAACACTGTACAGGACTCACAGATCAGGCTCCAAGAACGCGGGGCTCGGTAACAGACACTTTGCTAATAGGTGTCATGAAGTCAGTTTAATAGATAAGGTGTCTGCCGATCCAAAACACCTTTATCCTTGGCTTTCTGCCCTTTCGCCTGCTGTTTCCCACTCCCCAAATTCCTCGCCTCCTGGGCTGCGGCAGGCTTTCCTGTGTGTGGAGTGAATGCGCCAGAAAGCCGGGCTGCAAATCATCCAGGGGCAAGGATGTAAGGAATGCAAGATTCCTCCACGGAGGGGTGGGAGGGAAGAGAGAAGAAGGAATAAAAAAAAAACACAAGGCTGCCAAAAACAAGGCACGGGAAAGAAGCCAAGCTACAGCGCTTGGGAGGGCGGAGGTTTGGGTTCCGCCATCCCCGCCAAGACTGGCCCCCAAAACGTTCCCTTCCTCGCCTCCGGGCCCGTCAGTCACTGCCCTTTAAACTCCACGTTGTCTCCCAGCCTCCAAGTCCTCAGGCCTGCCCACACCCCACCCCCGCACCTCCCAATGCTCCCCTACTCCAGGGGACCTTCTACAGGACCCAGCCCCCAGAGCTCCAGCTCACCTCCCGACTCCTCCCCAGCGCAGCTCCCTTCCTCCATCTTCCTCGTCTTCCCCACCTCGACCCTCAGTACCTCCAGCCCAGGCCCCAGGCCTCTGGGACCTCGCCCTCTCTCCTCCCACTCCCTGGGTTAGGTGAAAGCTCACGCAGGCGCAGTACGCACCGCTCGCCGCGGTCGGGATTCTAGTCTCTTAGGCTCTGGCTGGAGCTGAGGCTGCAGCGGCCTCAGGACTGACCCAGTGCAGGGTGTCACCCTTTCCGGGTAGGGGAAGTGGACGGGAACGATGGGGGAAGAAGGCTGACCCCCTCCTCTCTGTCTCCGAAGAACCCGTTGCCCCGCCCACTGCTGCTACGCAACGCGGCGGAAGCCCGTCGTCAAACCCCGCCTCTACGTTTAACTTGTTCGTGATGAGACGCTGCAAACGGCCTACGAGGAGGGACGGTGGCTAGCTAGGCTTTCAGCTCGGACCGGAAGTTCCTACGGTCCCCGCTGGGAGTTCGTAACCAGATGGAAGGGAGCGCTCTATGCGCCGGGGCGAACCCGGGTATACGGCCCGGCCCGGATAGCAGCTTCTCTCTGGAATAGCGCACGTCTGGGGTCCTAGGGCTGATGCGGAGCCCGGCGCGATCATCGCGACCTGGTCTACACTGTGACCTGCTGTCCTCCTGGCCCCTGTTTCCAGAGCTGTGGTCAGCATCCCGGAGCCTCCCGACCCTGTGACTCACAGTCATGGGAGTAGATACTGCAGTTAACTAGGCGGCCGGGGCGGGTGTGGGGGGTTGGGGGCGTGTGTCTCACCGCAAAGCTTTGATCTAGGACGCTCGAACGGTTGTCCGCCTCCCAGCCACACGCTTGCAGTACCCACCGTCGCTCTCCAAAAACTCAGTGCCCTGAAACACCAAAGGATTTGATTTCCATAGGTTGTAATCCCATGGTTGGGAATACGGGTGGGAAAGAACCTGGGCTCCAAGGGAAGTCATGGAGCCTAAAGCGCTCCGTGATAGGATAAGGATTAAACAAGCCAAGAAATACTATTACTTGACCTCTTAGGCTAATCTAGTATTAAATAGTATTTATTATGGATATTCTCTTTTTAAAATGGTAATTCAAGCCGGTGTCGTTGGTCCACGCCTTCAGTGTCAGCTCCGGAGAGGCAGAGGCAAACGGATCTTTGTGAGATCGAGGCCAGCCTGGTCTACATAGTGAGTTCTAGGTCAGCTGGAGCTACGGGGAGACCCTGTCTCAAAAAACACCCCCACCCCCCAAAAAGGAATTCGCAGTATATATGCAACGTTTATTTACGCGAATACAGAGAGAATACCTTTAACAACAATCTGATGATAGGTAGGTACCCAAGGGAACTAAAGGTTCTGGCCTCTTTCATATGTGAGGGGACCCCGAGATCCAGTGAGATTTAAGGGCATAGGAACAAGAGGTGCCTTGTGAAAGCATGAGACTTGCTCTTTATGTACTGGGTTCCATTTCTTCCAAAGGCAGGTGAGTCTGCCTATTGTCTTTCTATAGTGTAAATGCCACCTGTTCAGAGGCCTGGACAGAATTGGTTAGTGTATTAAAGATGAAGACCCCGTATTTTTAAGTTTCTGCCGTTTTCCAGGCACTACTTTTTACCTAACTTTCCGTTTTCATCTGTAAAATAGAATTTATGTGTTTAAGAATTGTCAGTTAGGGCTGTTGATAAGATGGCTCAGCAGTTAAGAGCACTGGCTCTGCTTGCAGAAGACCAGAGTTCGAATCCCAGCACCACATGGCGGCTAACAACCTTCTGTAACTCCAGTTCCAGGAGATTCAGTGCCTTCTTCTGATCTCCACGAGCGCCTGCACGAAATGGGTGCACTTACACACATGTAGGCATAACACTCATACACAAAAAAATAAAATTAAAAAAAGAATTGTAGATAAACCGGGCGTGGTGGCACATACCTTTGATCCCAGGACTCGGGAGGCAGAGGCAGGCCGACTGCCGTGAGATCGAGACCAGCCTGATCTACATAGTGAGTTCCAGATCAGCTGGGGCTACAGGGAGACCCTGTCTCAAAAAACCAAAAATAAAAAGCAAACAAAAATAAAAGGTCGTTAAAAAGTGAGGCGACATACTGGGATTCAAACTTTTGCCCTCTGCATTCCAAAGCCCTTGAATCTTTTTCCCATTGTGTCAATACTTGGAAAAAAAAGTTTTAGAGCCTAAAGTGCATTCATTCTCTGGACCAAAGGAACACTGGGGCCTGACACGCCCCCTGGTGGTCCATCTTTCACCCGTGCCGCCAAACCAGATGCCAATTCTCCTTTAGTACTTGAAACCGCCCCCTTCGCAGCGCGTGGATATCGGAGTCTGATTGGATGGTTAGAGGCAGGAGGCGGGCTCACGGAACGCCCAGAAGGTACTAATTGGTCGGAGGAGGTCAGGCAGGAGGAACTTCCGGGAGTGTCTGCATTCCCGCGTTCCGTCCGCCAGCATCCGGCCTCAGCGAGCCCCCTGGCTCCCCCTGCGGGTGACTCCGCGGTGTGCAGAGTCTGGCCTGCTGGCTGCCTGGCTGGCTGGGTGGGTGGGTGGTGGGCTGTGGATGGAGGAGGGGATGGCCCGAGCCCTGGGTTGTGGGGATGAGGGTTCAGGAAGATCTGCCGAGTAAGAATCCGTTCCCTGGGCTACACCGGGCTCCCTACGCGTCTCCTTCAGCTCCCCGGCTTCCGAGCTTAGTAAGAATGAAAGCATCCCGACAGGGGGCCTTCCAGCCCCGAAGCATCCTATTCCAGAGACCCCCTAAATTCTAATCTTGAAGTACGAGGCCCCCAGGGAAGTTCGTTCCTAACCTTCTAGAAGGGTTAGAGAGGATTGCGGCTGCCTGATCCCAGCCTGGTGTGGTGGGTAGGCCCTGGAGAGTGGAGTATGGGGGCAAAGGCTCCAAGCCTTGAGCCTTCATCTCCTGTTCCCGCTTCCAGTGGGGTGCCGTGGCTCGGACAGCATGACGACGGAAACTTTCGTCAAGGATATCAAGCCCGGACTCAAGAATCTGAACCTTATCTTCATTGTACTGGAGACAGGTAGCTATGCATGCTCAGCGGGCTCATGGGGGTAAGGGGGGAGGAGCGTGGACAGTGAGGGGCACACCGGACCACTGCCTTCCCTCTTAACCTCTTAACTTGCTTCTGGGACAGGACGGAGCAAGGAGCTCTCCAAGGCCCTGCTCACTCTAATTTCTCCTAGAGCCGCACAGAGAGCTGCAGGCGGGTATAAGGCAGATAGAACTCCGGACAGACCAATGCTTCATTGACCACGCTGACCTTTTTTCACTCAGGGCTCTCTCCATGGTGCTGGCCCCCTCCACTACCACCACCCACTCCACGCATATCTTCCTGCCTAAGGGATATGTTCTGCGTCTACATTTTTTTTTTTTTTTTTTTTTTTTTTTTTTTAAGGCAGGATCTCCCTGCAGCCCCACCCCCACCTCCCGCTTAAGTGGATCAGGCTGGTCTACAGAGAGTTGCCTGCCCCTTCCTCCCAAGTGCTGGGGTCAAGGGTGTGCACCACCATGCACGGCTGCTTCTACAACTTTTACCTCACCCAGCTGATACCCAGGATCTCAACCTCTCACTACCACCACACCACTTGTATGACTGTCTTTTCATTGCCCATGTATTCTATTCCTTGACTTTAGGCCGAGTAACAAAAACAAAAGACGGGCACGAGGTTCGGACCTGCAAAGTAGCAGACAAAACAGGCAGCATCAATATCTCCGTTTGGGACGACGTGGGCAACCTGATCCAGCCTGGGGACATTATCCGACTCACCAAAGGGTAAGGCAGAAGGTGATGCCTGGCAGCAACTGTGGAGGGATGTGGTTAAAAATTCCTATAACTCTTCTGAAGACTGAATCCTGCCCCCTCCCTCCACACCACAGGTACGCTTCAGTGTTCAAAGGTTGTCTGACACTGTACACTGGCCGTGGGGGTGATCTGCAGAAAATTGGAGAGTAAGTACTGTCTTGGAAGTTGAGATCAAACAACAGTAGCCAAAAGTGGGGGAAGTTAAGGTTTATAAGGAAGCAATACAAGGGTGTGCAGTCCACTTTCTGTATCTGGAATTTTCTGTGACCCAAAGGATGATGTCAAGTCTTTGACTATTTTCCTTGCAGATTCTGTATGGTTTATTCTGAAGTTCCTAATTTCAGTGAGCCCAACCCAGAGTATAGTACTCAGCAGATGCCCAACAAACCGGTAAGTCCTTGGGCCTGATAGTGGAGAAAGAGGGCAGCTCAGGCCAAGAAGCATGGTGGGGACCAGGGTCTGAGCATGTAATCTGTGCCTTCAGGTGCAGAATGACAGCAACCCTTCTGCCCCTCAAGCTACCACAGGACCCCCTGCTGCCTCTCCAGGTAAATCCATTCCTTTCCTTCCACTGAACCTCTAGATCCCCCATTCTCCCCAGCCTGGAAAGATGCATTTTCTTCATTCCTTTCTCAACACTCTCTTCTCTCAAGATGTTCCCCTCCACCTAGTTCTCTCCATACTCTTTTTTTTTTTTGGTCTTATTGAGACAGGGTCTTCCCTGTACCCCCAGCTGGCATGGAACTCACTAAGTAGACCAGGCTGGCTTTGAACTCACAGAATCCTCCTGCCTCTGCCTCCCGAGTGCTGGTATTAAAGGGGCGTACCACCAACCCTGGCATACTCTCAACTTTTTATACCTTTTGCAAGTCTCTGGTGAAAAGATTTAGAGACCTATTTCAAACACCGATAGAGCTTTAGTATCTTTTCCCTTTGCTAATACCAGCCAAAAACAAAAGGAGCATTTCTCTACATGTGGAAATGACTGTTAGGAGCAAACAGACTTACATGTACCAAACTAAAAATGTTTTTGTAAATTTCTTATAGTAAATATATATATATATATATATATATATGTGTATGTATATATGTGCAGTCATGTATCTAATGATGAGGAC